TCAGTACCTCCAAATTTTCAGGATAACTACTTTAAAATGTTCATTCCTTAAAAGCCATTTATATTCAGATTTTGTCTTTTTCTGAATTCAAGCTTCTGTGGACATCTAGAGCTCCGTTAGTTATCTTGTGGGGCCTGCTTTGGGGAAACAAAACCAGTTGTCTTAAATTTACTGAACAAGCTCAATAGTGTTGTTTTATATATAGTACTTAAACTGGTCTGCTGGTGAAAATGAGAAGCATGTGTATTATACATAATTTTTTCCTGTTATATGAATTCATTTAAAGCCACTAATATTATTGCTGACTTCTTTATGTTGCAGCATGTGTGTAAAAAGTGTCAACTTCAGATAGGAATGAGTAGGGAAAAAAGCTATGCACTTGATGAGTATAAATTTAGGGCAAAGTAAAAAATTATTAAGAATTTAGGGCAAAGTAAAAAATTGAGAATTTGGGCTAAACTTGGTAAATAGTACGTGCTAGAAAAAAGGCAGATAGAAGCGTGATAATGTAAAGCACTTTGATTTGGTATTTTGTTAATGTTTCACCTCAAAAACACCAAAAAATTACCTTTCAAAAATTTCTGAAGTGCCCTGTTCACTCAAAGAGTTGTATTTGATGTTTTTTGATGAATTTGAAACATATGCTCTGCACTGATGCATTCGTAAAATGTTCTGGCACAAATGGTCTGATAATCCTGCTATTCCCTTATTTCAGCATTTAAACAATACTTTTTTTTTTTTTTTCCTAAGGGTTGAAGCACTTGAGACATTAAAACAGTCTTTGCTTTGAAAAGTAGATTTGAAGTAACCTTCACTGGTGGTTTAAAATCTGCGGTGGAAGCTGAGCTCCATCTCTCCAGCTGCAGGAAGCCCGTAGCACCCAGTTTGGATGCAGGCTGTATGGTGGTGCTGAGCACTCTGTCAGGCTTGTTGGCTATCATATATGCTGAATATTATGTAAAGCCAGATGATGCCCTCAGGGACACAAGAGCATGTAGTACATCACTGGCAATACAAGAGAGAGCTTTATTAATCGCAGAACTCCAGTTCTATTTTAAGCAGTAAATTAAAGCTGCCCATTAAAAATATTGTGAAATAGGATGTTATCTTCAGGTTAGAACAGCTTTCTGATAACATGATTTTAGTTAGGTTGGAGAATTTCAGCCTATTGTTAATACTCATCATCCAGTAATTGAAGATGGATATATCATTAGATTTTAACAGTTTTTCAATAAAAATATATTTAATTCAATGTACAGTAATCAAATCCCTTCTCACTTTGAATTAAAATGATTGGTAAAGCCTTGGTTTGCAATTAAATGTGAAAAGGCTTCTGATTTCACAAAAGGCTGATATGGAAGATACTAGCTGTTTGTCTAGGTGTTTTTCAACACTTAAAAACAAACAAACAAAAAAACAAACAGTGGTTACAAGACTTCATTTCTGCATCCAGAAATGTATGTACTACGTATGTTCTTCCCACAGAAAAACTGCAATGTGATGCTGTATATACAGTGCTATGGTAGTTCTGTTTTCCATGTATAATTGGATGACTGATTTAAATAGCATCTCTCTGACAGGAGAAATGAATAGGCAAACACACAATTTTCTTCTTTACTCTTGATAAGTGGATCCGTCATTGAAATGATGAGGTTTTTCTAGTGCAAAGAGAAGCAAATATTCTATTTGAGAATACAATGTAGTGATTGTGTGAGTTTTTGGTAAATATTTGAATTGGATTACTAGTCAACTGTGACTGTACTGTGAAGAACAAGACAATATTTGAAGTGCACTCATCTTGGAGTTAATGTTGCGTTAGTCAGAATCTTTCAGGATGGTAAACTGGCATTTTGTTGCTCTTACCTTACAAGTTTGGATCGAGAACCTTCCTACATACCAGTGGCCTAGCTCTGGAGGCATGTTATGTACTTTCACCACATAGCTGAGAAGCTGCAGTTTTCTTTGGGCTTGATTGTTGTTGACCTACCTTCAGAGGTGATTTGAGAAGTGTCTCCTGCAGGAATGCGCGTTGCATTTTCTAGGTTTATAATCAATGATTTGATGAATCTCCAAACACAATGACTGACCTTCCTCCTCTCACAGTGTAGTGGGTTTACGTGGCAAGTTCCTCCAGTAGTAAATTTTTCAGGCTGCTAGCCTGCCATGCACATCACTTTGTTTTATCATTAAACATATGCTAAACTGGAAGGTAGGACATATGTTTATGTGTGAGCTGGATATATGGCAAAGATACTGGCAGAGTTGTTCTCCCTGGGCATTCTTGTACTGTTCCACCACAAGAGAGCTCTTAGGAAGCTTCTATATCGTCACCATGATCAATAGCACTGGTTCAAGCCCAAGGATCTGATACTAGTTCCAAATGATAGCAGCTCTGATGTACGTCACAATTTCAGTCATTAACTCTGGGATGAATCTTAATCTAAGTCCTGTGGTATTCAATTCTGTGGCTAACTAAAGCCTCAAAGAAAGAAAGAAAAGCTGTGGAGTAAATATGTAAAACAATTCAACAGGTGCTCCACTATCTTTTCAGCTAAATTGTTTTGTAAATGTTAGTTATATAACTGCAGCAGGCATAGCTGAAGAAGCAACACTCTAAATTCCTCCTTAGCTAAACTTGTCTAGGAGGCACTGGTGCCTGAGACATAAAACCATTTCTAATTAAATTGGAAAAATTCTTCCTCTTTCTTCCTTTGTACTTGTCTGCTGAGCAACAAATCTCACTCGTGTGGCTTCTTTCTATGTGGCTACAGTAAATCTAAACTTTTTTAGAAGCAAAAGTTTATCTTGTTTGCCTTTAAAGATTACAACATTTAAAAAGTAATTTAGTTCCAGCAGGAGCTGGGCTGGATTTGTCTTTTATTTTATTTTATTTTTTTAAATATCTATTGATTGTTGTGATGTTTATGACTTGGGAAATGTGAGAAGGAAGAAATGTGATGATTATTGTTTAAGTGATGATGAAGAGGAGAAAAATGCTTGCGTTGTTGACCAAAGATGTTTGAGAACAAAAAATTTCAGTTTGGTATTTCAATATGCACATTTATAAAGCATAAATCAGTTATTAAAAATCAGATCTAGGTTTTGTGAGTTAAGAGGATTCATAAGTTAATGTTTTAACTGATACCAGCTTTATCCACCTCTCTGACTTACAATTTTCAAAGTGGTTGCACTTGCCTTTTTGAGCTAAGGTCGTGCCTCTTTTGTGTGCTTTGACTGAATCAGTGTCCTAGAAAAGCATTAAAGGGATGCTGCATAGCTGGAGGATCACTATTTGAGGAAGATGCATGTTGGGATCATTATAAAACACCCATGGCTTTTCACAAGAATAGGAGACATTTGGAGCTCTAGTTCCATCTTGTATATTGCTTTTAGCCGATGGATATTTTTCACAGCCTGTCAGTAGTACACAAAATGTGCAGTACAGTAGCAAATTACTGCTGCGTCCCACTTTATCTTGATGCTTTCAAGGATATGAAGTGTCCATTCTCACTATCTTTCTTTCAAGCCTTTTGCTTTCTAATAATAAAGGACCACGTTCCCTTTATTTTTCAGAGATGTCTATGCTCTGTTCTTGCTTGAATCATTCCTCGAGGTTTCAGCAGACCTTAAGTAGACCTCTCCTAGACCACAGATATTCTGACCCCTAAACACATTTGAAGGGTCCAGGCATACAGTGCACAGAAATCAATCCAAACTACTTTTGCATGGCCAACAAAACTTCCCCAGTCTCAGAGTAAGCAAGAGAGACATGTAATGTTAAAAATAAAATGCAAATGTTTGAATTATTTGAATATAATCACTTTATTAATTTAACTGTCTAACAGATACTGATGACAGTCTAATAATAAGGTCCAAAATGTTCTTTCTCATTAAAGGGATTAATGAACTCACATCTTAAGAATTTCATTTTAATTAATTAGGAATAACTTATACAAGAGAGAGAAGTGCCAGAAAAAAAAAAATCCTATTGAGGAGTGGAAAATTAGTAAATCTGTTAATGAGGGATGCCAAATGCCAAGGCTTTCATGAAAGGATGCCTACAGTTTTCTGTTTCATGTGTAGAAAGCTACTGGGTGGCTGGATACTTGGAAAATTTCAACACCAAAGGCGTTCCCACTCATTGCTATCATATATGCTGAATATTATGTAATCTTGATAGCAAGCACAACAGGCACTTGCTTCAAGACAAAAATATGTTATCCCTGCATATAAGTAATGTATTAAATAATGCATTAAAATGTGATATTGCAGTTGTCAGATGATTTTTTTTATCAGTGAAGTGATAAGGGTTTATTAGTAATATAGCTTTAAACTTCTCCATAGTTTCAGAAAGTTGAAAAACTGAACAAAAATATTTTCCTTGAATTGTGAAGTATGGATTCCTCTCTTGAACTCTAGATCCTTCAAAAATTAAAATTCTAAAGCTGCACTTCCAAAGCGCTCATTTTATAACTAATCATGCTCTCAATTTCTGAAAAACAAAAAACGCTTGCTGCCACTACATTCTTTTTTTTTTTCAGATGTTAACAAATAGTACAATGGAAACAGTTAGCATATTGCTCTAAGGAAGCAATTTCAGTTATGAGAGTTTTCTGATCTCTTACATCCAAACTGAACATTCATGACTGACTGAAAATGAGCAAACTATATCATTTTGTTTTATGCTTCATTGGTTTAACTTCCTTCAGCTGTCATACCTGGATTTCAGTATGTGTTGGCTTCAGAATCTTGTTAATGTCAAAAATAACTAACTTGGAACTGCCGAAACAATGATTGATATGTAAACAGATAAGTCTTAAATCTTCAGGAAATGCTGAGAGAAGTAAGTTAGGAGCGAGTGGTTTGCAAACAGATTATTTCTTGAATTAAGATCAGTCTGCAATGTTGTTACAGAGTTAGTATAGTGCCTAAGGAGTCTTTACTGGTACTACTTTTTTTTTTTTTTTTTCTTTTCTTTTTTTTAATATCCCATGCTGTAGGTGCACTTAAGGAAAGATGCTTCCGGCTGGAACCTGGACAGGAGAGCAGCAGGCTAACCTGAGAGAAAAGGGCAGTGACTTTCCTGAAATTAAACAGCAGCTTGATGACACAAGTAGGAACAGTGTTTAAACCATCTGTTTCATATTCTTGTGCCGTGAGAGATGCCATGCACCTTTCAGACAGTATTTCATCTTGGAAAGTAGCTGTTTCAACATTGTTTTTGGCTTCTGTCTGATTTTCTAGACCTGGAAATTGTGCAGTAACCAATATGTTGTGCAGGTGATACATGCAAGTCAGGCTGAACATGCATTTGATAAGAATAGGCTGTCCTTCTTGGAGATGTTGCCTTTATACATCAGGACTGAATCCTATTTGGGCTGAAAATTTTGTTAAAACACTTCAGGTGAAATCAAAAAAGAAAACTTATTCCACATAAATTATCTGTTGGGGTAAACTGCATTTATAATTATTTTTACACCCTCTCTAGCATATGTATGTATGTATAGCATAACTATACGTATATATTTTTAGAGACTAAAGAATTCTTTGAAATATTTACAGATCACTATAGATTTCAAAGGCTTGTAATGTCATGTTAAGGTAATATACAAGTGTGCAAGCAAAGAGAAGTTAAAATCAGACACATCTCAGACTGATAGGATATGGTTACAAAAGTTCTGTTATGGTAAATTTGTATGTGGTCAAGAGGATAGAATAGTAGGCTGGAAACTGGGAGGCCTGTTTTTTCCTTCTAATCAGCTTGCTTCATAGTTCAGAAAACTGTTTTATGGATTAAAGGCTCTTCTGAGCGAAACCTCCTTTGTACTGTATATTTGTCTGCATAAATACACATTATGTGCTCATCACCTTCTTCTTATGGCCTGTTGGTCTGACCGTTATAATAACAACAAAAGACAGGAAGGACTGTGTAAGCTTTTAGGCAGATGCTGTATAGTGTGGGTGAAAGCAAGTAACTAAAAGTGCAGATTTACAGCTCTAACATTCATTCCTATATTGTAATAACATTTCTGGTACAGCCTTAGAAGAAAGAAGTGCCAACAAGCCTTTGTGTAGGGCTGAGGTATTTGTGCTTTCTTTTGTTGTAATGCTGAGTAATCAGCATTACACTATATATTTTTTCTTGTCCATTCTAAATGCCAACTAGAGGAAAACTGTGCTTTTTAGGCAGGCAAATGTAAGTTTGAATATGTTGTTGAGTTCAATAACACTGGCCATTTTGACAGATAAAAGAAAATTAGAGATGGGCAGCAAAGTATAATGATAGGTGCTGAAGAAACATTCATGCAGTGTTTGGGAAGAGAACAGAAAAACTGCCCAGGTTTCACCAATTTAGCAAATTGAGGGTGAGCAAAAGACAGAGCACAGTGCCACCTAGTGCCTTCGGCAAAATCGCAGAGTATCGTCAACTTTCAGGTGGATAGGAATTTAAAATTAATTCCACTTTCATATATTTTTATTTATTTATGTGTTAGAGTAAAAATCAAGGGGTGGGACCCTCCATCGGGGGCAGATCTATTTTGACTTCCAGGGAGAACTGCCTGGGTGTAAGAAACATTGTCAGTTTGAGTAGATTCCTCCCACATCCCTTCTTACTGCTAAAATCTGGGGTGTCACCTGGGCAAAGAGAATAGTGGTATGCATCAAATCTCAGTAAAAATTTAATTTCCCAAGGAATGTTAGAAACCATGCTTACGTTAAGGCAACCCACAGCACAGAGTTAGCCTCCTGCTGAGAGGCCAGGTCTGCAGATCCACCTGAAAGCCACATGGCAGTCAAAACTTTGCATCCTATTTTATCTGTCTTTTTTCATGAACATGATGGAGCATACATAAGAAATTATGTGAAGAGAGGGTAAATATTATATAAAAGTATACTGCGGTATTGTTAGTAGTGTGGTATTTGTACTGGGAAACACAGATCAAATCTGCTCTTTGGTTAAATTGCTCGCTGGACCTCTTCCTCCCTTGACTGTGGAAGGAGGTGGAAGTGACTGTCTCCTTTTGTTTCTCAGGTGAGTGGAATGAATTCCAAACAGAACATATCTGGTTTTGTATATATATGTATGCATGTTTTATGTTAGACTGCTTTAAATTTTCAAATTTCACATGTATTTTTGCATGTCCAAGGCAGAGGAAGCAGTAGCTAGGTGACTGCATATAGAGCAAATACAATAGCTCAGCCCTGTGTGTTATTGTGGGGTGATAATATTCATGTGGTATTATAATAAGACTGGCAGAATGACGATCTCTACACTTTTCAAATTCAAAGGAAATGAGACAAGCTTGAAGCATCCCATAAAATGCAATTCTGTTTCACTAGCAACAAAGGAGTATCTTTGTCATCTTGGCAATGCTTAAGGATTAGGAGTTACCTCTCATATTAATGGATCTCATCTCCCCAGAAATGAGCTAGTTAGAACTGAAGTAGTGAAAGATCTCTGAATATAGTACTGAGGAGTGAATTTACTTAGAGGTGAAATTAGAAGTGAGATCTTGGCCAAAGACATCTTAGTTTGGATATTTACTCTTAGAATCTTTATAGTCAACTCCCCTTGGACTGTCTGCATTTCAGTGCTCTGAAACTTGGGAAAATAAAAAGTCATAACTCATCTTTTTTGTAGATAGATCTGGTTCAAGTAAGGGAGACCGTGAAATTGTAAGCTGTGTGTAGTATAGTACTAAAAGAAGTGAAATTCCTCTTTCTGAGGAATCTAAAGTGGTTGTGTGTTAACCACTCTGCCAAAGGTTTAATTTTAACTTTATCACTTATCGGAACAACATAAAGAAAAAGAAGTTTACTTTCTACAAGTTGCACACTAAGTTAATTCTGTTGTGATATGTAGAGTCCTGCTATTTGATACCTGCTATATGTATTATTCATCCAAACTACTGTAAAACTCCAAAACTTCATAATCTTAGCATTGAATGTTATTGCTTAAAAACCAACAAAACAAAACATGACTCCTAGCTATTTGTTATCCTCTCACTCCTCCTGTACCTTCTGGTACCCTCTGTACAAGGGCAGAAACAGTATGATGCTGGATGATCTGTCAGATGATATGGCTAATGTACAGTCCAAGGGAACAATGAATGACTAATAAAATTATTCATTACAATTGTTCGGTAAATGTTTAAAAGCAATCAAAAAATCTAGGAAAAAATACAATAAAGTCATAAAATGAAAGTGTACACCCTTAGCATCAGTCCCCTCAGCTACTTCATTTAAAATAAGCAGTTTTGAAAAAGAAAAGAATAGAGGAAAACTGCTTAAGAGATTTCAGTTTCCTAAATTTCCTTCCTGCCTTAGTTGGTTGGACCAGTAGTGAGATCAGAAGAACTTAAAAGATATTAATTAATATATTTTTTTCTTATTACTTGATTTATAAAATTAAATTTTTGTTCTTGTGACCTTTGTCATTCACTTTTCACCCCCATTTACATTTATCAGAGTTCTTTAGTCAAAGTACAAAGTGAAAACTGCAGCACTAATTAAAAATGATCAGATAAAATAGATGTGCATTAAATAGGATGGATGAGTCTTTCATTCGTTCTGACTTGAGTGCCAGAGCCCTGAAGCACTCCAAGAGTCCTCTTCGTTTCTTGTTCAGTCAGCCCACTGGATGCTCAGACAGCCCTTGCTCACAACATAGCTTGTGGCTTTAATTGAATCACAGATGGTAGGTGGTTGTCCCCTTAAAGAATCAAATTGACTTTTCATCTATTAGTTGGTTTATATTTGAGGGCTTTGATATATCCTGGAGACTCACATCTACCTTATTACAAAGTTATCTTGGAATAGTTCTGTTAATAGATGGGTGGTATTGCTGAAAATGATCTTGACTTTATGTAATTGAAAGTTGTAATGTGTCATTGGAGATGGTTTGAGGTTTGGCAAATTAAGGGCTTTGTTGATATCACTTGTACCTCCAGGCTTCACAGAAAAATAAGCATTAAGTATGCTACTAAAGTTACCCATTACATATTCTGTTACTACAATCTTTAAAAAAGTGAAATCAAGAATTCTAGAGTCTAAAACTGTGGATGGTATCAGTAAACCACTTCAGTTGAACTGGGGCCCTGAACTCCTGCTCCAAGGCATGTTTTATAACAGTTAAATGCTAATGAGAGTGGGCTTGTTACGTGGTGGGGTTTCACCTTCTTTTGTACTCTGCTACGCCGTTGCCTGACTCTGAGCCCTTACGTTTGTGTTTTATATGGATTAAAGCTATTGCATTTATTCCTTAGGAAATACCTGGAGCATGAAAGCTGTTATATTAAATTAGTTCATTACAATATTACATGCATAACTGCATAAACATCCATTCAGTCCTTTCTTTGATCACCTCTGATCTTGGCTTTTACTGCCACTGACTTCTACAAGCCTTTTTTTTTTTTTTTTTTTTCTTCCCCAGCATGTTTTTTAATTCTAATTTGAAGTTGTCAAGAGCAGATTCTTTTATTTCCCATGATAATGGCTTGCCTATTTTTTTAATACTTTTGAACTTAAATCAGTTATACTGGGGGCATTTTTACATCAATGTTGAAAAGGCATTGATGTGCTGGCAGTGTTTTGCTGCTGCTGTGTGTGATTCACCTGGTAAAGCACTTTGCCTGTCACTGAAGGGCACTGCATAAACGTAATATAGTATTATTTATTATCATAGCACCACATTGCAAGCTACCTCCTGAATACATCAGTTACCAACCTACCTTGGCAGTTTTATCATCCCAATTTTCTTTCCCTTTTCTCCTTTTGTGTTTTCTTTACTTATGACTCCTTGTAGCATTGCTGTGGTCTTACTCCATAATTAAGTGCTAGCATCTTGTACTGAATCTACCTGTTTTATCACCTTGGGTCATTCATTTATTAGTTTATACTTCTTTAATGGATGTTTAGAGCAAGCAGAAACACTTTAGTCCTGCATTTGCTAATGTCAAGATTGTGCTTCTAATCTTAAAGATTTATTGTATTTGCTGTTGAATCCCAGTGATATATCACATTGTATTATATTTCACTTATGGTATGCATGATTAAAGCAGATAATAGGCTACAGCAGACAGCAAGCATATTTCCCTAGTTAATATCTGAAAACACTGTCTAGAAAACTAGTTGTTAGTAGCATCAGACTAAATAAATGTTAGATGCCTGAGGATTGAAAGCCAAGAGCAAACATGGTGGGGAAAAATGTAGACCTTGAGCTTGATTGACATGGTGCCGGTATTGCTTGAAGCTGCAGGAAACACTTAAGAGGTTTTCTGATATCTTACATATGGTAGTGAAAATGTGGCTTTTTCCTTGACCAGTCCTAGGATTGTCCTTAAAATAAGCTACAGGTCTATGGAATAAGTCGACATGTCAAACCTATTAAAAATGTGCTGGGAACGCTCGTTCATCCTAGCTGTAAGAGTGATTGTGCAGAAGACAGTAACACTGTTCCAACATCACTCCTATCAAAGGGATCAGCAGACAATGTGGTAGGGCCTCTGAAGGGGAAGAGCATACACTTAAGTTTGAACATGTTAAACCAGTTTCAAATGTTTACATAGGCACCACTTCAGGTGGAGGTTAAATAGGGTTGTCATCACTTCTGTTCTTCTGGATGGTTACTGCTGTGAAGGCAGATGTTCCTGACGGAGGGAGATAGTTCTAAGAGCCTAACTCTTTAAACTAAATGATGAGATAATCTCATTGGTTTTATTTTGATATCTGTTCACCTACTGAAGTGACTCATTTTGACAATACAATGTGCAATGAGTTTAAAACATTTCTTAAACGAGCAAGGATTCCTGCTGATATAAGCTCAGAATGTAAATATCAAAGATTTCTTGTTGTGGCACTTCTACTAGTGAGATAAAACATGCAGTCTTAAGCTATGGTATTATATCTAAACAATATAATTAAGTACTTTGTGCAATGTTGTAGAGATTTTACTCTGCATCGTAATATTATTTTATCTATATTCATTATTAGTCTGGTTAAGTTCAAAGAACAATATATTTTGCTCCATGGATTTTTATTTATTTTTTTTCCTAACAGTGTGAACCCTGAAGGAGGTTTCTTGTTTCATGTAGCATTTTCCTTTTAAATGGTAGGGAAAGGTGCCATTGCAGTAGATGACAGAGTTAATGCAGTATGGACTGAACTGTGTTACTGCGAACAAAAACATCTCATGCAGTATAATGTGATGTGTAGTTTTAGATAATTTCCTCTGGCTTTCATAACTGCTGTGCTACAGTGCTGAAAGTATGACTACAAATTTCCAATGGATATTGTCTGGCAAAGCTGAGACTACGGAGTAGGAAAAGAAACCTCAAACATGAAAAAAGCTGAAGAGATGAATGGCTTTAATACTTCTGTGAACCACTCTAAATCTGCTCATACTAGAAATGCATGCAATTATCCATAAAATAAATTGTCTTTGTCTCATAATTGTCTTAGCTAATTACCTTTTTAGCAAATTAAAAGGTGAGAAGACTGAATACTTATGTCTACATTTCTTCAGCAGTGCTTGCTTATATTGTTCCTTTGTTCATTGATGTGAATCTCCAGTTTAAAAGTGTTAGATTTCCATTTTTTCCTGGTACCCCAAGCAAAGCCAGGCAGTGCAATCTGCTGCCTGTAAATAGAAGTGTTCTATAATTGATGAGATCCACAGGTCTCTCTTTCTACAGTACTCTTTCCAAATGGGAGAAAATACTCTAAATAAAAGCTGCTTGCAATTAAAAATCATATCACACCTTTACAATGCTTGCAGTGCCCTCAGGGCTGTTTTTTTTTTTTTTTTTTTTTTTTTCTACCAAAGCTGAAGACTGACTGGACTGAAAAGAAAATGTGTATTATGGGAGTGGAAAGAAGCACAGAGAAAGCTTGTTTTATCACTAAGTGAAACGTATGAGAATGCCTGTAGAATTAACTTGGTTATCCTGCCTTAACATTAAACCTTTTATGTTCCAGAATTTGCACAAGTCCTGATCTATGAATAGGAAGAAATTTAACAGCTAGAAAGATAGAGATCTAAGCTGCTTAGAATTGGTTCATCTTGTTTGGATAAGATTTATCATAACAGCATCCCAGCCGGGAGGCAGAACCATAGCAGCACTACCAATGTTCTTGCTATTTTCCATTTCTCTGGCAAAACATCCAGATAGATAACAAAGGAGTTAGAAAATGACATGAATTTAAAAATGTGAGTCTCTATTGTATGCCTGTGGAATGATACAGTGTGCCAAGTAGTATTCAAAAACTTATAATTGCGTATATCTGACTGTCAGCAACTGTTTTGTAATCATCTTGGGAACAAAAACATATAGGGGCACAGTCTGCCCAAGTCTTGTTCCAATAATTAGCAATGCCTCAGAGGTTCATTTCATCAAAAGAACCCCAAATTTTAACACCCTTGAAAAAGGTCTGCACTCCAGATGAATTAGGGAGCTTTTTCTATGTAGTCTGTTCAGTTTAAAACTTGAACAGAAGAAATATTACGTGAGTGTTTTCAGAGCACTCTCCTGTTGTTCTGGCAATCCATGTGGGAAACAGGGCTCTCTACTACTCACTGCCTGAAATAATATTCCTTGAAAAAGAAATCAGCATCCCAGTTAATTTACCTTTGTTGTTATTATTCCTACTTCAAAGCTGTATCAGAATTATTGTGTGATCATTTGCTCTGTGCTATCTGCACAGATACATCTGACTTCCAGAAGCAAATGCAATAAGGCAGAAAGAATCATCTTTGATCCTTTCCCACTGGATTATAGGATAATTTGTTTGGCCTTTGAACATGCGTTGAATTATAGGAAGGCACGTGACAAGTAATTGCACTGAGAAAACCCCTATAAGCTACTCCCTAGAAGGAAAGCAGCACTCTGGTTTTCATTTATATCCCCAGATCACCCAGATTAACCCAGCAGTAAATGCCCCCTGTATTCAGTTAAGAGGTTTTTGTGCCTGGATGGGAGAGGAGTTAGAAGTTACCTGGCTGGGAGCCTGGGTCAGTGCTGCAATATAGATTACCTAGGTCAGTGTTGGTGCAATATACCTTGCATAATATGTCATAAAGATTGAGTACTGCTGTTCCACAGATAGCGCTTGTATGGTCCTTTCTCTCTTTGTGTAACTTCAGGTAGAGTTCTGCCCAGGGAATTTTGTACTAGATTGGCACTTTTTTTCTTCCCCTGTTGTGTTTGAAACTGAAAACTTGGTCAATCCAAGGAAGGATTGAGATAAGGCAACAGAATACCCATATGGAACATTATCCACTACAGAATCCTGATAATAAAACCAACCACATAACAGTATTGAAAATACTCAGTGCCCTGGAACTCCCCTTTAGCTAGAATTGTTAAAGCTGTTTGAGCTTGGAGGAAAAAAATCTGCCTCCTCTGTGAGTCTCTGTTCCTACTCCTTATTTAAAGAGCTTTGAGCCAGTGCGCCTAGAGGGGACAAATTAATTAAAATCAGTAGAGGTTTTAAAACATGAAGGTGATGCAAAACAATGTTAGAGGCCAGATTCTCAGGTGGTCTGAACTAATACATGTCAGTGACTTCAATTAAGCTATGCTAGTTCCCTTAACATCAAAGAATTTGGCTCTAAGACTTTGTGATCTGTCCAGAGACTTTCTGCTTAAGAAGCCGTTGAGCCAGAGAACTACTGAAGACAGAGTGAAGGTTTCTGAATTGGTATGTCAAGATTAGAGGTTTGGCAAATGTTTTTTTTGTTTTGTTTTGTTTTTGTTTTTGTTTTTTGTTTTTGTTTTTTTTTTTTTTTTTTTCCTCCAGACCAAAACCTTTATTTATTTATTTATTTTTTCAAAGGGGGAAAAAAGACCATTTTGAGCTAAAGTGATGCTTTTTTGCATTTCTTGTTTGACTTATCTTGCAAGTTTAGCCATCTTCATTGGCCCTATTAAAAGAAAAATTGGAAACCTTTTTTTTTTTTAAAAAAAAATAAATTAAAATTCAGAATAATTTAGTAGCTTTTTTTTCTTTTTTTCTTTTTTTTTTCATATTCAGATTGTGAGCCCTTACTTCATCCATCCTGGCTTGCTTGACAGGGCCTTATAGGAAATCTGTTTCAGAGATCTCCCTTATGCTGGAGTTTCCTGCCCTGGACTTCCTTTGGCTGCTATTTGCAACTTTTCTCAGACTCTGTCTGTATCTGCATTGCAGGAGCAGTAGCTCTGTCTAAGGGTCTCTTTCTCACCCCAATAATGCCACGTTCATCATGTTGTTTAGTGTGGGTTAATACTGCAGTTCCAGCTGCATGCTTGGGTGGAAGGCAGAGCTGGGTGGAAGCTGCAAACTAGGTGATGTGTTAGATTTGATGCATGTGGGATCATAAGGTACATAGGATATCCTGGTGCTTTGAGCATGTGATATGTTTTCTAGGAGGTATTCCTAACGAGTGCATTTCTTTGCTTTGCTTCTTTACTCTGCTGTACAGTTCAGAAGACAGAGAGGAATTGTTGGATATGAAAGACCAAAGGGGACAATCAAAGGAGCTTTCCTTTGTTTGTTAGACTTCTATTCTTTCACTCATTGGCCTCCTTGTTAGCTAAGTGCTGTAATAAAGCAATGATAAACTATAACTGAAGAAGCGAGAGGTCCTAGGTAACACTTTAGTATGTAAAAACATGTGCTTCTTCCAGCTCAGTGTCACTTTCATGAGAGTATCTGCAATAAAGAAACAACAGTACATCTCTTTTGTCAGTTAGCTGTCTGCTTCAAGATGTGAGTCCAGATGTCTACCAGGAAACAGATGTATAAACTACAAAAAAGATACATCAGCTACATTATTCGGTGAGTAACAACATAAATTCTGCTACACCCCTCTATGCATTAAAACATGTCTGCTTTTTTTCACTCAAGAAAGCTCTTCTGTTCAGAACGATGACATACCACTTTCTGTTTTTGAAATCTCCATAATTTCCTTGGCTAATAAACATCCTAATACTTATTTGTGGAGAGTTATAATATACTCCTGTTCAGAAGCCATCTGTTTGTTTATACACAGATATTCTGTGCTATCACTTCTTGTCAGTTTTATTTCTTTTTCTTTCACTATTTAGTCATGAGAGACATATTACTCCTAACATAATTACTTCTTGTCTTGCTGACCTAATGTTAATACTACATGAAGATTTTGAACCTTTAAATTTGACAAATATGAAGGCACTGTGTCTCTTAAAGGTCTTAAAAGAAAGAAATCCAGAAAGTGACAGAAATGCAGTGACAAATACTATCTGTCTTAGAGATGCCAACAAGAAGTTATGAAGGATAATGAAAATTCTGTAACATCAAATAAATTTGCATAGTACAAACAAGTAAAAAAAACAGTAACGGTAATCTCTTGGATAACAAAGGATGAAGAGGGGCATAAAGTTGGTGGTCCAGGCCTCACATTCATTCTAGAGAGCCTTGGATGGCCAGAAGGCCTCTACACTTCCACTGGCATATCTAAGTGGTGGGAATAGAGAGAAATGATATGAAGTCATGCTGTCTATCTTCCCCAAAATACCCAGCCTTGGGTGCCCAAGATGCATGGAAGCTGTAGATCCAACTGAGAGAAGGGGAGAACCAATACTAACAAGACTATATTGTGTAGCTTATTTACACTTATGGTTTTCCCTCTTCAAGCTAAAACCGAGGTCAGGAAAACAGTGTTAAGCAAGTCAAATAACTTAAACACTGTGACCGGTAGTAAGAAGCTACAGTGTTGGTTAGTAAGGTAAGACTGAAGTTATTAGGGACCAGTGCCATTAATTGGCTTTTATTACACAGTTGGATCTTTTCTTTCTTGTTGAGACTAATGTGAGGACTGCAGTCAAGACTAACTGTTGACAAACAAAGCATAAAGTTTTCAGGTGAGCACTGGATCATTCCGTTTTCCAGAAAAAAAAAAGATGTGATTTTATGAAGAGGTTTTGTATTAGCAAGGTTTGGTATTGTCAAGTTATTTTGTGATGATGAGTCTTTCAATTTATAAAAAGACTAGAGTTGGGTTTGGTGATCAATTTATGGTTAGGCAATATATGATCTTGCATGCTTGGATTTGGGAAAGATGTGGCTTGCTGCCTTTGGCAGATACATTTATCTTGTTTTTTAGCATTTAGGTTATGTCTATGTGAGTATTTCATCATAGCATTTCATACATTACCTCTGTCTCTGTGCCATTATCATTGTTACCTAAGTAGCCCAGCTTTCTTGCTGCACACCTTTTTAGATCATGAATGCTACCAGAGTTCTGCAGTAAATGTTTCTCCAAGTTCCTTAACTCCCTCATTACCTTTTCAGTAAATAAGACTGGTAAACTTATTATGGATCACAGTCAAAATTTGCATGCCCTTATTTTACTGTCCTTTACCATCTGTGCCAGTACTTGATTGATTAGCAACAGATCCATTTGGGAGCATGAATGTAGAAAGTAAAAGTACCTTTTAGAATGGTAACGAAACCTTGTCTTTCTATGGTTAAAATAATTAAGCTCTTATTTATTTTTGGCTAGTCAGGGCTGCTTCTTGTTCTACTGCCTGACAAAGTTGAGAAAAGTGTATTTCCTGCCTTTGACAACTAATACTGTTTTGTTTCTAAGAAAAAAGTATCTCATGAAAATGTTGAATGAAATTGTTGGGTAGTAAAGGTAGAAAAAATATTTTCTGTTCCCCCTCCTGCCCTACCTCCTCTCAGTTCTTTGTATCCAAAAGAGAATGTCACACTTTATACTGGAAAATTACAAAGATACAATTACCTGTCACTAGCATATTATTAGCTTATGCAGATATACTCAACAACATGGTCAAAATTTCATATACTCTGTCACCGCCTGATGGCATTGTAGCCGTGTCATGCTCTTTCAGGAACTTTTTTTGTTGCTGTTACTTTTAGTACACCCTGACTTTGAGGCTTGAAGTCCTTTATTTCCCAGTAGATGGTCAGGTGTATAATTCAAATACAGAATTTATTTGAAAGGTCCACCAAGAGAGAAAGCTTATCTTCCTAAAATACTTTGTTGTATCACTTCCGACTTCTTTATATAGTACGTTGCTAGATTTTGCAAAACATTAATATTTCCCAGTGAAATCCTTATGGAAATTTCATGACATCTGAGGATGAGATAGAAAGCCAAAATTGCTCTCATTTAGTAATGAGAAATTGAGGTACAATAAGATCATGGAATCCCTTTAATTTGGAATGTATAAGACTGTTAGGGAATTTTCAAGGGGGGAACATTCATTGACATGTGGTTTGACAACACCTTGCAGTTTATTAACTGGGAAGTGATATATGGGAAGTGGAGCTCCAAAATAAATTTAATCGAGGGGAACTGGAATAGCTAATGGTAGTGTATCTTTCCCTGCCATACCTGCAAATACTGATTAGATGTTGTTTATTGCCAGTGAAAGGCAAAGATGAAAGTTCAGCTAGGTATTAGACAATGGGTTTTAAAGAATGATGGATTTGTCTATATTTTGAATTTCAGGAACAATTATCTGGTAAAATCTTGAAGTCTGGAAAAACAAACAAACAAAAAACACACAAAACAAAAAATTCAGTAGTTCCAATAGCTTTCCACAATGTGAAGGGCTAAAAGAAAATGCAGAGAGGAGCTAATATGGCTTCATCTTTAGTGATATACCTTGTCCCTGTGATCTAGACTGCTTGTCTAGATTTGCTAGAGAAACTGAGAAGTTCTAATACTAGTAATTTTAAGAAGTCTGGGAAGTTTCTGAAAATGTAACTCCCAGTAATAAAGATGGTGATGAAACTGGAATATCAAATGAGAAGCATGAGATTGATTTTTATACAACCTTATAATATTTTGACTTTCCAAAAAGGTTTCTATATTGATTTCTAAATAGAGAAGAGATGTATTTTTATCACAGGGATAGCTCAAAATTTATGGTTTGGAATAGAAAAATTTTGTTGTTTCCTATCCTTCCTGTAGAACTGAAAATGTTTAATAATGCTAGTGCTTGAGTATTGATCAATGTCTGGGATTATCTGTCTGTGCCAGCATTTTCTGATCATCCTCATTTTCATGGAGTGCTGTTCTGCCTGAGTTTTCCCTCAGAATTTAATATTTCCGCGTTTTTCAAATATAAAGTGTGGGATGAGATCTACAGTCATAAGATGTTGTGCTGTCAAAGAGCTCTTTGCTCCTGGAGCCATCAGCATGTGTGGTTCTATTACAGAAAGCAAACAAGCAGCTGCTGAAGGCAAGGAACAGTAGGGTAGCAACAGGGGGCTTAATTATGCTCAAACTGCACAATATTTAGGTGCACCTGGCATCCTTTGTTAGGGTATGAAAGTTTTTATTACAAAGATGTCTGTGGAAAAAAGCCATTTACGATTCAGCAAACTCTCTGAAAAGGCATTTTATCACTCTAAATTCTAATTCAGTGAGTCTTTTTTTTTTAAGTGCACCCAATAGTTGTCAGGTGGTGCTTCTGGAAATAACAGACCTGTCACACTGGAACTTTAGGTAAAAAACAAGGTTACTTAATTACCTGCAGGAATTATATTCAGCTATGGTGCGTTGCCCATGTGGAAAGTATCTCAGGCAGAATGTGTGAGGTGAGTATACAGCACCAGACAGGGAAAGTGGGAAGGAAAAACCCATCAGTTTGGTGCCAATAGCATTCCTGGAGAGTCAGGGTGATCTCCACCCTCTTCTGATTTGTTTGGAGCTGTGCATCGTCTACTGGAACATCTCTCTTCTGCATCTGACGTAACTGTCCTATTTGAGGACACGTGTGTGGTTGGTTTGCTTTTTTGTTTGCTTCTTTCTGAAGCAAACAGTTTAATCTGACTTCTGTTCCCTCTTATTGCAAGCAGCCGTGCCCTTGTTAGCCTTGAGTGCCCTGAAAAAGCTCAGTGTTTGGACTAAGCAGATCTTATGTGCTCCTCCTGGTGCTGTTTTTTCCTGATCCTAAACCTCTGAGTCAATGGAAGGATTGCATTCGTTGACTTTTGGTAGTTCTGTCAGGAAGCTGGACAGCTGAAGAATGAGTGTTACAGGATTGCGTTCAGTCTTCTGTCAGTTTAGGATTAAACAAGACAGCAATATTTCAATGTGTATGTGTACAGACTCACTGATATCTTCATGTTTTTTTTACTGTCCCATTTTAAAAATGAGTAAAATAAAAAAAATAATATCAAAAACAAACAAAAACCTCGAATAATCTCCTTAGCTCTGTCCATCATATTTCAGATTGTTTCAAGAAAATTTGGGCATTCTGAGCAATATGTAATTTTTTTTTTTAGTTTACATAGTCTTATTGAAGCTTATCTGAAAAATCATCTCCTATTTGATTACAAAACAAAACAAAACAAAACAAAAAAAAACAAAAAACAAACACAATAGAATGCAAGTTTAAGCCAGAAAACATGGTCAGGGTGACAAGCAAATGCTTATTTCCTTTTGTTGCAGTCTTACCATATCTAAGAAGAATTTCTAAAACTGTCAGTCATCACTGAGATGGATATTAGTATTCATAAATGATCTTTAGCATTTTTATGTTATTCTGTGAAGGTGAACTTTATTTTGGATTTTTGTTCATTAACATCAAGAGTTTCCCCCAAGCCTGATATGTCTTTTACTTACTCAGCACATTAAAATGCCTGGCTTTGAGTCTACAATGTGTTAAAACTCTGCTTTATATTTTTCCAGGGCATAAGGTATAAGTTTTTTAAGAAGGTATAAAAGTTTACTTAAACTTTTACTTAAACATTCTTACCTTCCAAACCCTTGAGGAGAAAATAGTGTGTATGTGTAAATGAATTTAAGCTTTCCTAACTCTTATTTTGAGAAAGCAATAATATTCTGAGAAGTTCTCACAATAGCAGACAATCTTGAGTAACATCAAGAGAAAATGTGACCTACCAATAACATCTGAGGGGTGTGTGTGTGTGTCTATATATCTATATAAATATAAAATATAAAGAACTTTTTCACAGAAATGGGAGGAGAACAATCTTACATTAACCAAACACTTCTTAATTTCTTCAAATCGTCTCAGTTTTGAGCTGCTAAAGTTGATCCAGTACTCTATACCATCCTAGCATTTCCCTGGAGCGTTATAGTACTTAAAGATGACTGTAGTAGAATTCTAACACGATAAAATGTATTGAGCTTTAAAGGTAAGAGCACTTCCTTTTATTTATTTATTTAATGAATTTTAAAGTCAGTAATGAAAAACGTCATTCCTACACAGGTCCTTATTTTACATATGAAGTTCTCAACACCTGAATGGCTTGATTTATCAACCTAGTGGAAAGAGATTTTGTTCAACATCAGACTTTTATATTCCAAATTTGTTGGTGGAACAATATCTAAGTCCCTAAAACCTCAGAAAAAAACAACTCAGAATTTTAACTTTTTTTGTGCTTTTTTAATAGCCTGGCATACTTTCCATAGCATAAAACTAAATATCTTACTAGGGTATTGTTAAATGACATCTCCAATTATTTTTTTCCTTTCATTTCAAACTGAAAGACATAAATTTTACTCTGATAGTCCACGTAATCTTGCTCTACCTTGCATAATTTTGAGTCTATCCAGTTGTATTACACTTTAAATGGAGCTTGAAACATGTCTAATTTAGAAAATATTTACATATAATCAAGGAAACATGACAGGGAAATCTATTTAGTAGAAATGCAATCAGCACTGTAATTGATTTTGGAAATCTTTCTAGGAGGACACAGTTAGTTTAGCAAAACAGTTATGGCTTCGTATATTGCACACAGAGGAAACCAGCAAATTGCGCTTCTCATTTATTTACCACCTTCATTACTATAAATAATATTATTGTGTGGATGCCGTTTTTATCCATTTAGCAAATTTGCTTTGTCATGACTCAGTAGAACAAGCTGCATTTCTGCATTTTCTGTGTGATATTCTTTTCATCATTCAGGTGGTGTGGGGGGTGGCATGAGATGTAATCAAAAGGAAAAACAAACAAACAAAAACAAACAAAAAAAAAACACCACCAAAACCAGAAAAAGTAACTGTTTTGCTTTACAATTGAGTGTGCACAAAGAGAATTCATGCAAAGAACAAGTCGCACTTGAGATCCTCACACTATCACCCTTGATTCAAAATTTTATACTATCCTGGATTTTGCCAATGATTGAAATGTTATAAGAGTTTAGAATATGGAGTCAACCTTTAGCCTGCCAATTATTGGGAAAACACTCTGGTTTCTTACTATGATCCTCAATACCCTATAATACTTTGAAATAACTGGATAGAAATGATCTATTTTTGCACGCTGTGTTTTGCTGGCAATGTTGGGAGCTAACTAGTTGAGGGGCACAGCTCAGCTGATAAGAAGGATGACAAAGAAGAGCTTTAGAGTTGGTTGCTTCTAGGGTCTTCCTACTGAAGGAATTTCTTTCTTCCCTTTCCAGTTTCCTCAGAGACATTCATCAGTATTGTGTGAGTACAACTTTGCCTACACTTTTCACTTAATTCCTCAGTGTTACATTTGTAGTCGGTTATATGTCAAGTATAATTTTCTTCTCACTTTCTATAGTTTCATTGATGTACAAATATTGATGAAGCTAATTTACGTGTAGGTGATGTTTTATTAAATACTTTTATATCACTCGCGTATCTAGCAGTACACTGATTCTTGGAAAACAGCCATGTTTTTAAAAGCTAGCACTAAGCTGATGCATTATGTGATTTGTGAATCAGTGACCAAGAGATGAGGGTTGTCACTTATTGAAACTATCTGTGAAAATAATAGATATGGCTCCAGGCTTGTGATGGATACTGTTTATTTCCATTTGTATTTTAGATAATTCAGTTCACTTCTTAAGCACATGAGTATCCATTGTCTACTAAAGGAAATAGGATATAAATCAAATCATTCTGGCTCCTGGGTTCAGCAAGAACTCATAACTCTTCTTTTCATTTCATTGTTTTTCACTTTAAATATTGACATGTGCAGCACTTGAGCCAGCTGCTTAAAAGTTTCTTTCATGTAACTTAGTGACAGGCTAAGTAGCTGTACCAGCGTAGAAAAATACATCTTCCCTTTAATTTTCATTGCTATGGTTGTGTGAATTTAATATAAAGTTACAAATATGTTGGAGGTGAAAGCAGTCGGTGTTAGATTTTAAAAGTAATGAATCTTTATACTGGTCCAAACAGAAAATATAATATGCAATACTCACTCTCTCCATTGAGACATTGAGCAAAACACAAAATGACGATATAGGCATAAAGGGGAGGCTTAATTCTGCCAGGAAAAAAAAAAAAAAAAGCTGGGATCCTACTTGTCTAGCAGTACTTCAGGAGCTGGTGAATCAAGTTAGAAAAGATTCTTTTTCACCATTAGTTAATGAGCTTTCTTACTGTGACGAGAGTTAGGGTGTTAAAAACACAGATAGTTTGAGACTACTGTACTACTAAAGCAAGGTGTAATGTATTTCTGCAGAAATTGCTACAAAGATTTTAAAATATTTAGCATTAAATGTTCTAGGAAAAAAGTTCTAACTTTGATAGGATAGTTCTGAACCAATTATAATAGCGTCATTTTCTAGGCAGATTATTTTCATACAAAGGTGAAAATTATTTTAAAATAACTAAAAATCTTCTTTCCAGAGTCATGACACAATAACTAAATTAAAAAAGAAAATCATTGGATTCGATCAGAAATGTGTGAGTCAAGTCTAGAATAACACATGGAGTAAGCAAGAATAATATGCATGAAAAAAAACGGGTATGTTAGTTCACTCTTTAGTCATGGTTATTTTCATGTTTTTCATTTACTCTATGCATGGAAGGTTACTGTTAGAGTTTCAGAATTATTTAAAAATGATTTAATGATTTCTTTGGACCCATATTGGAAACTTTTTTGGTTCACAGAAACTGGAAATTTGATGCAGTCTGCATTGTTGTGGTGGTTGTTATAATACTATATACTTCTGTGGGAATGAAAAAACATTTCCAGCATCTTAAATGCCCACATGATTTATGTGTCCAACTCCCAAGATTGTGTGTGCTTTTTGGTTTTTCTTTTTTTGTCTTTTTCTACTGGTAGACACATTATATGCAAGCTTTCCTCACAGACGTTTCCATACGGAAAGCATATTGAGTTTTATGTAGCAGTGAGGTCATAATTCAAGTTGCACCCTTGTACTCAGAATCCTCAGCCCATATCTTTTGAGTTTATCTCAGCATCTCACTTAGAACAATCATGCTCTTAGCCAGGATGTCAAAGCTAAGAAGGAAGCATTTTCCTTTTTATTGTGTAGATCTCATTTAGATGAATTACAGAAGGGTCACAGCTTTTCATTACAGATAATCACTTTTATTAAATTGCAGACACCGTTGTTTCTTCCTTCATATGTATTGAGAGCCAGACTGGAAGTAATCCAAGCAGCTTCATTTTTGCCTGAAGTAGCAAAAGAAGTAAGAAATTGCCTCTTTTAAACTGTATTTCAAGCTTCTATTGTTTAAGATTCCTAAGAAAAGTACAGAGGGTAAAGGCAGTTAGTAAATTATTTTAAGAATCTAAGAGATACAACTATAAAGAAATCTTTAAAGATGCTTCCTTACAGCCTGTTTCAACATCATAAAACCACTTACGCATTCTGGGTGTATTATCTTCTCCTGCACCGGAACAGCAAGTTGATGCATCAGTTCTCGCCAGAAGACAATATTGCATCAGTTCTACCAACTGTTTTTTATATCACTCAAGGTAAAATACGTATACTGTACTGCAAGAGACCTTTCAGGAGCTCTCTAGCAATGGTACAGTAGGGTTCCTCATACCCTTTCATCTCCTTCATACCTCATTTAGTAACTACAGTTTTTCCAAATTTTTCATCCTTTTTTTTTCATCCTTTCTTTGGAAATATATTTCTCCAGTTAACTCAATAACAAAAGAAATCTATTTCCATTATCGTCCTGACTGAGAAAACAGGTTTATGGTATTTTATTGAAGGGTTTTATTTAATGCATGTATACACAACAGAAGTAACTGATCAAAAACTTCCTTAAAATGCTTCAGGAAAAAAAAATAATCATACAGAAAGAGCACCATTACCAAAGTCCCATGACTTCTAGTTTTCACATAAAAAAAAAAAAAAAAAAAAAAAAAAAAGCTCTTCCTTTAGCATATAATGGATTGTGAAGTATGTGCAACCAAACACAAAGATTATAGTACCAGAAAGTCAATATGAGTATTTTATGAATCCAGGTGGATATGAAACAAGAATTGATCTAACTCTATAAAGTCCCTTTCTGACCATGTTACATGCCATAACTCAAACTTCTGTTTATTCTGTTTGAACTCAACATGGAAAAAAAAATCCATAAAATGAAATGCAATAGTAAATAAAGGATGTTAGTGTTTGGACGTAACATCAAAACTGTCAGCACCTGTAGAAGAGTTACTTTGGGAAAACTGTTTATGTCTCTTTTTATCTTTCTGCCTCCAATTGTCAATTCTGAGTGTATGGAAGCTGCAAAAACTTCAGTTAGTTTCTGTTCAATGTAATGCATGTTATTTTCTGCTCATATACAGTCAATGTTTCAGTAATAGCTCACCACCTGCAAAAAAGGTGATTTCTGTAGTATATTACTGCAAAATTATATAGCCATAGGGAGAAACAGTAGTGGCTGCAGCAGCAAGCATTCTTTAAAGTGTTTTTAGTACTTGATGTCATTAAAAATGATGTTGGTAGTGTACATAAAAGAATTGTACTTTGTTTTTTGAAAGTGAGCAACAAATTATTGTTTATTCACTGAACTTCTGCAGTTCCTATACACCTCAAAAATACAGCATTATGTTTTGATAGTGTTGAGAAAATGTAGGCATAAAGGCCTATGCTGTCCAGGAGTGTAAAGTGGTTTTGCTTCACACTTTTCAACTGAATTGTGCCAGGCTTATGAGTTAAAAATAAAAGCCAGAGCTGAAACAGAAAGATGGCTCAGCAACCGAGAGTCATGGATTAAGTGCCACGAATTACCTTTAACAAATTGCACTCAGATTTTTAAAAGCATTTAACTTTATTTTTATTAACTATATGCTTATAAATAGATATAGCAAGATTGAGAGTGCCAGAGCCCTAGAGAAACCACATATATACTGAATTTGTTACACTAGCCACAGTTTACTTCATCATAATCCCACACCCAACAACACAATATTTTAAAATGTTATAATTACTCATAGGAATCCCATTGTTGGCAAGTTTGTTCAGTTTTATTACTGCAATGTAAGAGCCATTTCTAAAAATATCAGGTAACTTTCCTTTTTGGTTTGGGTGCTAGATTAGGTAGGTTCTGTAACTTCAAATTCAAATTAAAAAATGAGTTTAGGAGAGGTCAGTTCCTGGTGGAAATTGAGGAGTGCGACTTGGAAGGAGGGAAATGAAGTTATAGTTCACTATCAAATTCTTAGGATACATGAATGAATATATTTGGATCAAATCTGCATTGCATGTGCTCTGGTAGAAAGTAATTTCTAGTTCTGGATCAAGTTTTTTTAAATGGCTTGATTAGACAATTAATAATTGTCCTTAATCATTTTACTGTTTTAGCTGTGAATGGTAAGTTCTTATGGTATGAACTATTTCTGCAGGGTTTTATCAAAAATCCTTTGAATACATTTAGTATTTCGGTTGTCTCAACATGTATGTTATACAGCTGTATAGTCATACGAGCATTGCAACACTGATCCCTGAAAACCTGCAAGGTGTGAAAGTCTCACGACTTCAGTGCCCTGTCCCGTTACACGTACTTGAGCAAAGCAGGGGCATGCGTGACCTTGCAAACCTCTTAAAGACAAAGATTTCATGCACACAAGAAGGTCAGTGTTTCCCTGTGGGAGCAGAATGACTTCCTGCTGTTTATCAACTGACGGTGTCTGAATTATAACCTGTTCTTAGTTAGCAGGCTTCAGCTTCTTTACCTTGATGATAGATGAATTATTGTTTCTTTTTGTTTCTCAGAAAATATATGAAGTATTACAGATACAAGGTCTTTTTTAAAAAGCTATTGAGAACCAGATGTGCAATGAGGTGCTCATTAAACGTAGGAATGTGCGCGCCTACATGAAGACTTCACAACCATGATTCTCCTGCTGTTCTTAACAGATAGCTATAGGCGAGAACTAGTTACTGCTGTACTTTCTGTTAATTATATGCATTTTTCTTCCTTTGTCTCCTAATGAATAAAAAGTAATTTACATATTCCTTCATATGAAATCTTTCTCTCAGTGGAGGTGTTTGTTAGTATAATTGATGCGTCGTTTATCCAAGGTAGTATCACTGCTGCTCAGTGACTGTTATGTGCGTATATTTCTTTTTGCAGGATGGTAGAATAAACCAAAGAACACTGGTAATTTTGCAAAATGAAAGAGAAGCCCTCTTTCTCTGATGGGAATTTGTCAAGATATTGCAATTACTAATGAGCACAGGGATCAGCCATAGTAGAACAAACCCTTCCCAGAGAAAGGGATTTGATTGACAGCATAGTCAGGTTTCTATCAGGAACAAGCTCCAATGTATGAGTAGTGTACCTCGTTGCTTGTAGAAATATTTCATGCTGTATCTGCAGGGATGATGGCTAAATAGGCACTGGAAAGAATATATTTTCACAATATGAATTCACAGTGATAGTTTCTGTTTTTCTTTAGTGTGTCAGTGACATGAGCAGCACGTTTGCTGACGGCTTTCTCCTAGCTAGTCCACAAAGTAATGAAATTACAAAGCCAATTATTAAAATTAACAGATCTTTCTGTGTCACTTCAATAGCTTACTGTAATTTTCAACAACAGAGAAGAAATTTCTGTGCTTCTCTCTTTCCTTTGTGTTTCTCATTAAATATCCTTCTAGGCTAGCAGACCAAGAGAAAATAACTATCTGATATATTATACACAGATCTGACAGCTATACAACAAATTGCCTCAGTGCCTGTGTTACTTGAGTAGTAGCTCAATTCCTTGGAATTAACCTCAACTTTAAAAATCCCTGAGCATCTCCAAATGGCTGTTGCTCAAAATCCAGAACAGCAGCAAGATAACCATTAAGGAGATGATCTTCCTCCCCTTCTCCAAAGCTTTGCATTGCTGTCCTGGAGATCCCTAATGTAACTATGTATGAGGTGATGATTCTAAGGTAAAATCCAAATAAATTGTATTTTGGATGGCTCTATAGGTATTCTATACGGGATGTTCAGCTGCAGATGGTGGGGAGGCAGGAGAAAAAGTGGGTGGCATTATTGGAGCTCTTTCTTTCCATGCTCATTCTGAAGTTTCTGAAACATAACCTAGATTATTTTTGTCTACAAAAAAAAAAAAAAATCTTCATTAAACTTCTTTTTCCAGTTTATTGATGCTCTTAAACAGGTGTGTTACATTCTCTTCCTAATACAAAATGTTTGATGAAGATTTTCCATTCCTGGAGATTGTGGGGGGCTGGAACCAATTCTATCCAGCCACTGATTTTCATGTTTAGGAAGCATCTTTTGTGTAAGATATCTATTTCTCTGTCAGATTCAGCTGAATTCAGCCAATTATCAATAAAAAATTTTCTTAATGAGAAACAGATAGCAAATGCTGTAATTTAGACCTTATTTTCTTAGGATAAGTGGGTCAGTAGTGGCTTAATCCTTTCTTTAATTTTCCAAATAAACTATTACAGGACTTACAAAGAGGCAAGATGCAAATAAAACTTCTGTTTCCCTGCATATACTTTGTAATGGATAGTGATTGGCATTGCAAAGTTCTTTTTTTTTTTTTTTTTTTTTTTTTTTGTGGGGCTGTAGACTTTTATCCAAATATATATAGATAAATATAAAACTTCTTGACTTGAGCTGCTATTCTCCTGTTTACTGCACAGTATGAATCACTTTGGAGTATATTAAAATGTATGAGTCCAGACACATGGAAACTGAAATGCTAGCAAAAGCATGTTAAAGTACTGCAAATACCGAACACTTGACCCAGAACAGTCAGGTTGGGAGTCCTTTCTGCACATATTGTTCCCTTCAAAATCTGGATTGAAATAAATTTTTCCTCAGCTATGCAATAAATGGAATTCTGTGTATTATGCACACAAACAAATTTGTAGCTGATCAGCAGGTAACATTATTCTGGGGCACCTGTAACAGATACATGGCCTTTGTTCTTGAACAAATAGATTTTCTATGTGTAAATTTTATTTTAGGTAGTGGATTACTCTCCTAATGAAACCTAATATTCTACTGCTGATACTCATAAATCCAGGACTGTTCAGTTGTACGTGGTAGCCAAAGTTACTGTTTTGTGGGGTTCCTGTTAAAGCAGTTCTCATGGTTTTGGTCTAGTACACAATTGTTTTTAAAGTAGTAATGAATATTAATAAATATTTATTAAGAAAGAAATGCCAGCTTTTCCTCAGTTTGGGGTCTATAGGGTCAGGGTCCTGTTTTTGTGTTTGTTTTGTTTTTAAAATTACATCTCTGAAATGTTGGACACATGCTCTCTGAATAGTCATGAGTATTAGTTTATACAAAGCACAAAAGTACATTTCTGTAATCCAGATCACTTTGGTTCAAATTTAAATAAATGTTTTGCACAAAACTTCCATAAACTTAAACTGCTGGTCTTTACAGAGGTCCAGTTAAGGTTATAGAAATGAAAGCTGGAGGCTCAAAAGTCTCTAGCGTATAGTCCATCAGTTAGTCCATATGCATCTCTGTGCTATGTCCTGTTGGGAATTGACATAATTGTTCGATCTAAGCTTGCTTTAAGCAACCAGAGTAGGCCTTAGAAATCTCAGGGCCTGCTGTAGCTGAGCAAACCAGGCTGCCAGAGTAACTGTGAGAAGCTCCCACGGCAAAGACTCCCACATCACCCAATTAAGGAACTCAGAAAATACTGTTATCAGCAGCTGGCCTCAAGGACTAGGCCTACGTGACCGTTAAGCACAAAGGGGGTTGTTTTCCTAACTTCTAATCAAAAAGGGGGGTTCTTTTCTTGCAGGTGGTGTTATTTTCTTATAACTGTTTGTCTGAGTGTTTTTGACCAATAATCTTGTGTGAAACACTGTCCACCCCTGTAAAATTCACTATAAAAGTTGGGCTATTCGGGCAATAAAATGGTGAAGCATGATCTGACTCTGCTGGTGTCTGTCGTGCTTTCGTCCGTGCTTCGCAACAAATGGCGCCCGAACAGGCTGAGACCTGAACAGGACCCGAACAGGACATCGCAGCGAGACGGACATCGCACCGGAGCAGGACATCGCAGCACCGGAGCGGACATCGCAGCGGCGCCGGGGCGAACATCGCAGCGCAGCGGGACACCAGCGCAGCGGGACACCGGCGGCACCGGCACATCCGATCGCAGGTAAAGCGGGAGACCAGGTACATCGGGAACCAGCGGCGCCGGGTGCCGGGACATCGGTGCGGCGCGGGTACCAGCGGCGCCGGGACATCGGGGCCCAGCGGCGCCGGGCGCTGAGACATCGGTGCGGCGCGGGAACCAGCGGCGCCGGGACATCGGGGATCAGCACTGCCGAGCGCCGGGACATCGGTGCGGCACCGGGACCAGCGGCGCCGCGACCTCACAGCGCTGAGCCTGAGCCCGAGACTGAGACATCGGAGCGGCGCGGGACATCGGAGCGCCGCCGGAACATCGGACCGGACATCGGAGCGGACATCGGAGCGGACATCGGACCGGCGCTGTAGCCAGACACCGAGCCGCAAACGCTGTACACAGGACTTACGGTGAGACGCGCTACTCCCGGTCAGAGACGCGGAAAACGCGGTACTCCCGGTGAGAGACGCGAAACACGGTGGGCCGCGGGGACTTACGGTGACAGACGCGGGACACGCGGGGACGCGGGGACTC